ACATCACATGCACAACCTGGATATTTATTTGCATACCATGTTCCACCCACATGTGCATTTCGTTCAATTAAGATATAATTATCTACACCGAGCTCATTCAATTTAATTGCCGTACCAAGTCCAGAAAAACCAGTACCAATAACAATAGCATAGTATTCACCATCTTTTTGATTACTTTTGCTTTTAAGTTTTCGTTTTGCTTGTTTTTCATAACGACCAAATGAATCAAATAATAGCCAATATAAGAAGTGACTAATAAAACCGATTAATATTCCTATAATTGTTATGGAATAACTACATATAACAAACAATAATAAACGTACTAAAGACGGTGATGTTTGCTCCATTCTTCAAACGACAATACAAATACGTTTATAAGAAAGATAATAACATATTTATGTATAAGAAGAATATGTCATGATATATTTTTTTTATCTTTATCAGTTATTTTCTTTCTGTCATTGGACTTTACTTTTATTCGTGCATTTTGCTGTCTTCGTTTTACAACTACATAGAATAACTTTTCGTTCTTGTTTTTTTGTTGTGATAAAACGTATTCACTCCTATTACTTTCATGTGCCTTTATACAAAAAGGATATCTTTGAAATATAAACTATTTTCTTTCAAAATAATCATTATAAATATGATTGTTTTTAACACTATACATGATGATATCATACGCAAAAGAGAGAAAAACTATTACATGATAATCATAGAGAAATAGAAGGATGTTTAACGTTAATTGCGTAATGTGTATATGATGCTAATATAGTCACAGTCGTTATATTATTATAAACTTAAATTTAAAGAAATTGCGTTGTTTTTGTTATTTCATCTATAGGACTAATAAAGATCACATCGTTTGTAACTTATAAAATCACGATAATTTAACAGTCAACATATATTTTCAATAAATCTTATAAACATGATAATAACATCTAATTAAATTTTGACAAGTTGAATAGATATTAATTATAATCCTTTCAAATCACACATAACGTTATATTTACTTTTCAACTATGCAAATATTAAAAAAAGAATATCTATCCAAACAATTTGTTTCATTTTTTCGTAAACATAAAGAAAAACAATTCTATTGTAATACGAAGATTATGACCTATCTCTCTATTGTTCAACAAATCAATTTATACTTTGAACTTCGCAGTTGGTGGTATTTCTCTTATGATCAAGGTAATGTCTAGACAATCATCAAAAAAAGCATGAAATCTCTCTGTGTGAAAAAAGCAATCAGATGACTTAATCTTGATTCTTTTTATCTTTTATTTCTCTCAGCATGAAACAAATCGTGTGAAGATAATTATACTTTTTTTTTTTATTATTATTAACACCGGGATCAATAAAAAAGAAACAACTTTTTATACTATACAAGAGGTTCATTATAAGCAAAAGAAAGCTTTTTATTTATTTCAATCGGTTGTATTGAATGATGAATTGTTCGATATTTCAATAGATTAATTGTTATACTGATAAATGTTAATGAATGAAATAAGATGATAATTAATACCAAATAGAATGAATATGATATTTTGATTAATTTTACATAATCTTTTGTTGTTTGCCAAACAAGATAAATCATTATTGATAAACATAAATATGTTAGAATAGTAAAAATAAGTAATGATACAAGAAATTTGAATAATGAAGAAGAATTACGATGAAGTAATGTAATTAACCAAATAATACCACTTATATCGGCTAATATAACAGATGTAAATGAAAGAATTTGTAAAATAAATAAGATACGTCCTGAAAAAAAAAGGTGGAAATTTAATTTTAATAATACGAAATTTAAAATTTGAATTTTACCTTCTGATGTATCAATTTGTGGTTCAACAAGTAACCATGAAGAAGATATTGATCGAGCTCTCCAGAGACCAACTTGAAGTGTTTCAGATGACCACCAATAAGGTAACAACATAGCAATAGTTGTTAATACAGTTGAAAGTGGAACAGTTATTAAAAACATATTTTGTAAAATAAGCATCATTTTTTTCAAATGAAATCAAATGAATGAATGAATGAATTTGTTCACTCTTTTTCTTTCTCTTTATATATGTGTATACATCTATTCTCTCTTTTTCTCTCCCACGATATCAAGTAGCACGTATATACGTACTGTGTGAATATCAATTGACAATTTTTCTCGTTCGTGGGAAAAGCATCGATCCAATGTGAATGTGTCAATATGTGCAAATGACATTCAATCACTTTGCTATGGATATTAACACACGTACTTGCATATACATATATGAATTGTCATGAAAGATGAGATGATATTTTATATGGATAACTAATCTATGATTAATACTAAAAAATTATAATATCAAAAAAAAATAGTAGATAAGACAATTTATTAACTTTTTTCTTTTAGAAGATTTATATCTATATTTATATCGAGCTTCTCTGCTTGTTCATCTTAGTTTTATCGTTAGTCAAATTATTAAAATATTGCTTTTTCAAGAACACTCTTGTGAATTGATTCAATGCCCTTTAAACTTATTCTTTAGACAACTGATAAAAAAATAGTTTGTATCTTAATGAGAAATAAATAAACTCTTCACATATCATGATTTATTGACTAAACTGTTAAAGTTATTTTATCAATCAAATTCAATATGTTCGATTTTGATTTTTCTATTGTGTTATCTATTTATTGTATACAGAGTGATGTTGTGAGAAAAATATTCTATTAGGTCAAATGATATGTTTATGTCATATATCATCTAGTAATTATATATTTAAAAAA